AACTCGTATCTATTTCAGGGTCCGGGTGCCCTCAAATTCGATTAGCCCATAAACACTACTGGATTTTCACTGGCTTTGCTTGTCAAGAACTGCAGTTTATGACAGACTAGTATTTTTTGGCAGGTTTTTTTTATGTTGGATGAGCACTGGGCTTGAACAAGAAAGTGAAAGTCCCAAGGAAGAAATTCAATTATTTTGGAAGCTCACTTTGGGTATAAACTGGGCCATGGGCTTCAATGCCCTCTTTCAATATATTTAAAAGAGCGACTAGTTGCAGCTATCTTAGAGAAATGCTTCTCAACATTTTAATATGGGAATAAATGTGTGCTTTGGAGGTTTTAAACACTGTGTTTAAGACCGGTTGGAGTCTGGATGCTGAAAGTTATGCTCGCCGAAGGTAATTATCAGCATCCAAACTCCAACCGGTCTTAAACAGAGTGTTTAATACCGACCAAGCACATATTGATTCCCATTCATAAATACCTTTTCGGTAAAAAAAATCCACATTTTTTGGTTCATAAGTCAAAACAAGTCAAAAATGATAAATTTTCAACAATTTCGATCAACAAAATACCCCTCTAGCTATACAGTGGTTAAGGCCCTCTGGTAAACAACTCCTTATAATCTTATGGAGATTGAAGCGCGCATAGCGCTTACTGCGTGATGTGGGGCACAACGCAGATGTAGTGTGAATTTATAGGACTATGAAATACTGACTCACCTATAGTATTGCACTTGCCTACCTGAGGATTGTGAACGTTCAACCAATAAAACGGTGCTGGCACCGGATTTCGTAGGAATCATAGGAATAGAAAATTTTCAAGGGTAAAATGTAGTAATTGATGGTTTTCGGTTTTTTTTCCTCATTTTTCCAACAACAAAAAAATGAGGGTAGGGGCTGTCAAAATAGGGAAGGTAGGTAGCTGGAAGCAGAAATATTTTTTTGTTTGGCCTAAGGAGTTTTTGAAACTTTGGTTTGTCTCCCACTTTGCCTCCATGGCTACAGAATCATTTAGAAGTTTCCATGTCCAAACAAATTAAAATACTCTTAATGTTGGCATCATTTATAGCAAATTGATGTTCCTGATGCCGAAATTTGACCTATACTGAACCAGAGTCCCCCAAGTAAGGTGCCTAAAACAGAAGTCATCTGAAGTCGGGCAGGTAGCCAAGGCTTCGCAAACCCCCTTTGCTGGATGTAATGCCAGCATTCCCATTATGTACAGCGGTCAGCGTTTAGCATCCCATTTTTGCTGATGACTGCGCGAACTTGAATAAATCATTGATCGAGGGTTTCTGACCAGCTCCGATCCGTCTGCTTCAGCTGCAATTCTCCAGAAGAAGCTCAGGCATACATTTCCTTCAGGTATCCCGGAAAAGTATGCAATCTTTGATTCTCAATAGTTTGAAGTTAAATTCAAATGCTGAAATTTTGACTGTCTGTGACTGTTCAAACAGGAAGGTTAACATGACATGTGTATTACTTGTAGTTTAGATCTTCCATGTCTATTTCCACACAGTTCAATATACCTTATTTATTAGAGGGCGATGGTTTGTTATCACTTGGATAGGGATGAGTAAATCTTTTTAGCAATCACTGTTACTAAATTAAACTAACAAAGAACACACTCTGAGGTACCTGCAGTGCACAAGGTTAATACAAACTGGTTAGTCCATAATCTCAACAATCAATTACTGGCACCTAATCCCCTTTAATCCCTTAATCCACTTGTCACTGTGTTTGCTTATTAAGGTAACTGTTAACAGCTTCCAGCCTGAGCAACTAAATGGAACAATAAAGCATTTAGCTTGGGGATTAGCCCCTCACTGTACATAAACTAACATTATCAATGTAACAAAAACTAACATAGGAAGTCTTAAGATTTTTTTAATAACTCTAGCGAAAGAAGAAAAAAATCAGTTGGGAAAATCAGACCAGTTCCCTATTTTTGGTCATATCAAATCAAACCCATTCATTTTGTTCCACAAAAAGGATAAATCTATGTTAAACTAATGTAATTTTCTCTCTTTTTTTCATCAAAACCCTGAACCATTGCTGTGCCCATGCACGTTGCAGCAAAATTCATGAACCATTGTGTACAACTGCTGCAGTACCCAACGGCAAACTGTACGGCCGTTCTACTAAAGCAGACATCTTCAACAGGGTGAAAAAAACCTCCAAACATAAGAGGTCTCTACAGCACGGACCGGGGCTAGGAGCTAAAAGCCTAGACCCAGAGTGTTCAATTTGATTATGTCCATGTTCTTGATGGTGCGAAGGAGTGGCGAAAGGTTTAAATGCAGCTAAATTGATAGCATTTGACTCCCAAGGAGAGCACCTGATCTGAAGGGTTGTGAACTCCCCATCAACCCCCCCCCCCTCCTCCTCCAAATAAAAAAAAATCATACAAACTTTTCATAACCTGTTTTTTTTTGGGGGGGGGATTTTATGCAACTGAAGGGTATACAATTAACTTAGAAATTTTGTAGAAGGTGAGCTAGCTGTTACCATAGAGAAAGGACACATTTACAAATATAATTTTAGACAAATCAGGCTCCAAGTTGTGTAACCATGTGCAATGTGCAGCAGGAGAATGACTTAATTATTACAAATTTTAACCGAGTGATAGATTTTGCTTTTCCACATTTTGCCCTTCCCCAATGTAATGCTCAAACCTTCCAACAAAGTGGTTGACCTGAGCTCAATGAAAAGAAAAAGGATTATTGTTTCTCTTTCTCACTTCCGCATATAAGAGAAGAAAAAGAATATCGAACAACAATTTAGCCCTCTCAATTTTTTGTGTATAATGATGAATTTCTCACTGCACCAGGACTCAAACTTGTTTTTTGTTTGCTCTATGATATGCTTGAGAAATCCTGTACAACACAGAACACAATATCAAAAGTAGCATATAATTTTGAGAGAGAAAAACAAAATTGGGAAGAAAACATCAACCACAACAGACTACTTTGTAGGAAACACTTTTGTAGGCTATTTTTCAAAGTATAATTCCCCACCGCAATAGTCAAGACACTTTTCTGAGGTCACGGCGGCTCAACTGGGCTTTCCTTTGATGAAGCTAGTTTCATTACGGTCTAGCGAGGCATTTTCCCAGTTTGGATAATAGCACTAAGCAGGTTCAGCACAACAGACCCGTATTCATGGATCCGCGGCCAAAAGAAACACAACACCGCAGCACAAACTCGGCCACAACTGGGGTCTATTCTGTTAAAGGCTGACCTCCACCTTAACATGGCGGCAAACTTTCCCTCAAAAGAAGTGCAAATTTGCACGGTGGGTTTCTGTAGAAGCGACTGGGCACGCTCGGAAAACAGAAAAGCGGGCGGGTTGGACAGAAGAAGGTGTTCCCAACAATCGGAATGAGTGTGGAAATTCTTTGAAATGAACCTTCCCATACAATACAGTTTAACTCACAGCACTGCATACATGTAGTTTTTACAAAACAAGTACAAGCATATAGCTGTACGCTGTACTCCGTACCTTTGGTTGTAACAGTTTATGATCGCAGCCCTTTCTGGAATAGCAAGGGACAACCGTTTGCAGCAATTTCCTCTGTTTACACCCCTGGATGATAAAACCACTCAGCATGTATGCATAACCCAATTCAAATACTCGTAACTCACTGACCACAAAGCAGCCCCAAACTAGAACTCGGTCGGAAAAAACGGGCGGTGCAATATGGCGGTATACCCCTCCGATCCCAATTTCATTTTGGGCTGAGCAAAGTAATAGATCAAAAGAAACAGCGGTACATGTATGGATGTATAAAGCAGGACCCTTAGTCAATCAATCACGTTGGCAAGTACAAGTGCACAAGTTTAATCCATCATACATTTATGTTTCTTTTTTATTCTGGCGTGTAAATGAACAGAGTGGTTTTGACGAGGGATTATAGTGCAATCATGGTTGAGAGATGTGTTTATGTATCCGTCAGCGCTGAATTTACGACACAGTTCTACAAGACATTAGAGATCATGGAAATTTATGTCAGTGGAAGGAGTCTACATAAACCCAAATCAGTCCTATTCAAGGTAGATTGTGTGCTGGTACAATGTACCAGAACATTATGTACTTGTAGTGCATGAGGGTCGGTGGAATATACTGTGGCATAGGTTGACTACAAAGTTTCCAACTAAACAGCATTCCCAAGACTTTTTTTACTTAACGTGACATGCTTTCAAATTACACTGAATGAAAGGAACCATGATTTGGGTTTATCTGCAATTTTGCACTGATGAAAATCGAAACAATTCTGGCTTGTCAACAGTAACACTACTCTTGAAATTTTCATCGCTTGTCTTTTGAAAAGCAAAAATATTAATGATGCAAACATTGCATGCACATCAAGTTCCCAATCAAAGCAAAACATATCCCTACAATAAACACAGTTTAACATAGCCCTACATATAAGTTACACTTTAACATACACTTGTATTATTTCTTAAATTAATTATAACTCTACAATTAATAGTAATTCATCAATACCTTTGAAATTTGTTTATGTCTTCTAGTAAATTATACACGCATGGGTACAGACCGTAGAGTATGTAACACAGAATACAAATTATTATTTAGGATTTGAAATCTTGATTGCCACATTTACCAGCCAAATGCCAAATGATTTTTGTTGTGGGAATTCATGACATGTGTAACAACTGAAGCTTGTGACAGCTGAATGGGTTAGGGTTAGTGTTTATTCTGGTGGAAAGCACCCATGATGAATTTAGTGGGACACTGCGTGCCGTGCCGTGCGCTGCGGCTTGCAGCAGCTTGCAGCTTGGGGTCTGTAGGAGCACAGATCCCTGCGGTTGTGTGGCATGATAGATTAATCACTGCCGTTCAAGACCTACTTGCTAGGCAGCTTGTTAACACTCCATCCATCATTGTCAACGTACACATCGCACCAGGACTCCAGCGGAATCAAAGAATTCAACTTACACAAATATTGCCCCAGAAATATGGGGGGAAATGTGTTTACCTTGTGAATACAGCAATCTCGGGCGATCGGCGGCGGCGGCGGGCGCAGGGGTGAGACATGTATCATAGTGTGGTTATCCAGTCAAAGATGCGACCTGCGGTTATCGTCACTGTCGAAGGACGGGTTGAAGGACAGCCGAGTCCGGGAAAAAAAGTCCAAGAATCCCAGTTTAATTGAGCAGAAAGAAGTCACATTGTGCTTGGGAGTGTGACAAGCTGTACACGTGACAATCCATAGCACTTATTGATGTGAAGTTTTTTTTCTATTTTTTTTTTTTTTTTGGTCTGGCTGTGATTGAAAGTGCCAGGCGGGAGCTAATCGCCTCACAAAGCTTCCATTGGGCGGCGTGACAATTGGTTATTAACACTGGCCACAATGTAGCATTCAGGCGAGACTAGAATGCCTTGCCCGGGCCCGAGTCACTCAGTGTATACACACTACCACAGTGCAGACTGGGGTGCAGTATACATGTATGTCCGTTCAACCTACCTCACACACTACCTATTATGCGGTTAGCCACGCCGATTCCCCACACACACACACACACCATGCTCCAGATTTTTTTGCTTGGTCTCGCACATGAACCCAAACCTTAACAATAACCCCCACGAAAATTTAATTACCGCAGTCCGAGGCGATGATAAATATTTTGGTCATAGGCGCAAGGGGGGGATGGAACACGACTGAAATCAATAAAGCATTGTCGCACTGGCAGATTCAAACACCAAAGGAAAGAGAAGGGTTGGAGAGATGAAGTAGAGAGTGCCTGTGGGCTGTACATACTAGCATGGCTAGAAAAGGCGTACATAATTACCACCTTGGCCCTTAAGGCGTTTTTTTTTTCTTTTTCTGTTCTGTCAGGCTCCTGTGTTTTTTTTCTCTCTGTGTCTCTTGTCTGTTCCACCTCTGTTTGGGGGCTTGTTGGCTTCCCTCTTGGCCAACACGCCTCCCCAATATGGTCGCCCCAAGCGCCGTTAGTCACAATTCGGCTTGGGCAATTAGCGTCATGCTTGTAGGACGGGCTGAGATGGTGGAGTGGTGTGTGTCGTCGGACAAGAAGAGGAGGAAAAGATGGGGGGGGGGGATTGCTGGAGCTTACTGCGCCAAGTTTGTGCCTCGTCTCCCCTAGGGCAAACCCCCACATACAACATTTATCAGTTTGGGATGATTCAAATGTAGCCGCGAGCCATTCCTTCCGAAGAGGGAAAAAATGCAGAGCTTTCGAGTCCGCTCAATATTTCATTTGCTCAATTTTTCATACCGTCGGTCTGCGGCGCTCATCTCTTGAGGGATATGTCTCGCTCCCAGTTGATCTTCACAGATTTGCATCTCCTCTCGTCTTCACATTTTTTCGTCTTTTTTATCTTGGCATATCGCCGTGGTTACGAATCCCGAATTCAATCCCCCGTCTCGTTTACCCGCATCTGTCTTGTTATTATTTTCTCGATCAGATTGTCGCCGAGCACACTCCCAAAGAATCACCCCTTAATTTGGTTCAATTACTTTCATCCCAGTACTCACAATAAATCACATGTTGCCTGCGAAAAAATTTCGAAAGTTGCAACTTCTTTTCTTGTTAAAGATAACGAGAGAAAAACCTTTGTCACTACGACGTCTTGGATTCTTCCACTCTTTTCTAGAAAAAAATAATCACAAGACTGCAACTTTCTCACATCAGCAGATGTTTTGAATTCACTGAAAGAAATTCAACTCAATCGATTTGAACCCCAAACTCCAGAATGTCAATGAACTGCTTTACCAACCATTCGACAAATTTTCAATGTGAAATACAACGTCTTCTTCCTATCAGTTAATTGCCTAAAAATGAGCATTCTCCTGACTGCTGCTAAAATACACAGTCTAAACTGGGGCATCAATGAAACACTCTCACAGCCAGTTCTTTCACAACCGACAATTTTTTTTCCAAAATAATTAAATAAATTCTGAAGTTTAATCCACTATACTAAACTTCAAATCACATCGATGTACAAGGTATATTTTGTTATAAGACAAAAAATATTACTTGCAATGTACTCTCAGTCTCAAGTTAAATGACGTATGAAGTTATGAAATACACGTTCATGTGCACAGGCCACCATCATTAACATGTAAGGCATGTAGGAGCCCCGTGGATGAAATTTAAACGTAGCTTGAAAATCGTTCCCTCTAAATCCCAAATCATGAATGAGTTAATTTACTTGATAATCTCCCGTCAGTCGCATGCCCCACTCCTCACAGCTTTTACCCTGACCACAAGGTTACTAGCATCAAGATGCTATTAAAGATCTTCAAACTTGATGGGAAGATAGCGAACATTGACTGGGATGCGTTCCCCCGCATCACGTACAGACCCGAGGTGAGCGCCGAGGAGCCAAGAACGACGCACTCTCGCTCCTCCCGAGAAATATTGACGTCTCTCGAGCCGAAGCCTAGATAAACAGTTTGAGGTAGGGCTGAAGAGGGAGCACTGGGCATATAGCCCATCGTCTTGAATACCAGATAAGGACTGGGGGAGTCTGGCGAGTCTCCTCGCGGGGCTATTACGACAAGTGGAGGGGGGAAAGTCTGGGGCGACGTCTTGAGAGAGAGAGAGAGAGAGAGAGAGTTGGCCGCCATGTTGAAAAGGCGTCGTGTGATTTGGGGATGCTAAAGGCTGATAAACATACTAGGTCAATGTCTTTCCATAGACGGAAATACAGATGCTCATTAGATATGAACTTGTTATTTATTATAAGGAAATGCTTGAAAAGTCTGATCAATGTATTTAAACAGCTACATATAATAAAGGTTATGCCTATGATAATTTTCAGTAGAGCTATGCACACATTTTTTTTGCTGAGTACAAGAACTTGCAAAGCACATAAACTATCTGTTTAGCAGGTTGCTATTCCAAAAGCACTGACTGTTTCTCAGTCGATTTTTGCTTTACACATAAATTTTCTAAATCTAAGCAATATTTTCCTACTAAGTAGCTTCATGAAATTGGGCCCAGTGTACAAACTCTTACTTCCATGACCAGAAAAAAAAATTATATTAGTAAAAAATTATGGAGATGTACTGTAGTTCTATGGTTACATGTACTCTGCACTGTAAACGGACTGAACTTTTGCCACCCCATTTGTCCAAATAAATCGGGCCGAGCGGTGTATCATCAAGCAAGCTTTGTTTCCAATAGTCAATCCACGTTTCAATTAAAGACCGCGAAGCCCGGGCTGCACTCTTGCCAGACTTTTAACGGCCACAGAATCTGCCCCAGCCCTTGGGCTGTTACTCGGCGCTTGTTCCAATATTTGGGGATGAATTATTTCGGCAGGAACGGGAGGGCAAACAGTTGCAATGCTCCGGTGAGCAACCGTGATGACCGAAACAGCGTCACTTCACGCCGGTTATTTCTCACATATTTTAATCAAGTATCTGGCACGCCAACAAAATAACACCGCTTTCAAGTTGCATCCAGAAATAGGTGTCTACATATTTGGGTGAAGGACCCGTTTAGATTTTTACAGTAAAAACCGTGCCTTAAACGTTATAATTATTTTGTCCGAACTCCATGTGAAGGCGATGACCATGTCATGAATTTAATGGCCCTATGTTTGTTTCTGTACAATTGCAGCACTGTGTGTTCAACTTTTGCTGATTTGCAGTGCGGGTACTTGCTGTGATTTAGCGAATCGGTGTTCGCATATCGTTTCTGCGAGCTGCATATCACTTGATAGATTTTGTTTCAGTGAATTGGGTCATCTACGACAATTGTTGCAAGAAGCATACGTGGATTGATCATGGCAATAGGTTACCCACCATACTATGCAAAACCCGTGTTTCCTACAACAGAATTATGTGAACAAGATTCACATTCAGCGGCTCTTTGGATTTTGGATAGAGACAAGATGGTGGGTACCAGCGAATTACAAGAAGTGCATACACCTCGTCTCTCGGGACCAACCCCAAACCATTGTTGTCAGAACGACATTGCTGAACAAGGGGAATCTTGGGAGATTTGAATTATGATGACTGACAACAAACGAGGAGTGAATTCGGGCACTTACAAGGCAGGAACTGGGTCGGCAAATGGCCCCGCTTTGTTGATGTTCCGTCTCCTTCAGCCGTCCAACCCGGTCGGAACCGGGGCTCTACCGTGGCACTCTCCGGTGCGAAAATAACCGTGACAATCAAAATATCCTAACAAGAAACACCGGGAACATGCTAAATACCTGGGCCAAGAGAAATAACGGCATTTTCGGAATTAATATGCAAGATGGACCGGGGTTGTTTATGAAAACTTGGGTGAGCTGTTGGGAGGGGAAACAAATTCAGGAAGCGGAAGGGGTGGGGCTGTCAGCAATAACTGCGAGCAATGTTATCTTAAGTAACCCTCCTGTTTTCTTTGATTGTTTTTTTTTCTTCATCTTTCCCATTTTTTTTTCTGCATTGCCTTGAAATTTTCTTGGACAAAAATATTACATGCACAAGACTTTAAAGATTGCATGGTGGAGAATCATCACTGAATAAAAGAATTTATGATAGCATCATGGATGTGTATGATTCGGAGAAAAACTGGGGAACTCAACATTTCGGACACTGCACCGAGTTAATTTTTTTAGGGGAATCTATAAATATTATACACTGTACAGTGTACACGCACATGTACAAATGCATGTAATAAAATAAAGCATGGACACATGTACATGGGAGTCAGGTTGGCGCAGTGGTTTCTTTCCTCGCCTTCCACTTCTCTATGGTCCGGGTTCGATTCCTGCCTTGGTCCACAAGTGGATTGGGTTTTCTGTCCCTATACGTGAGTCTGTGGGTTTTCCCCATGATATTCTTCTGAGGTTTTCCTTCCACCTCTAAAACTGAAATTTCTTCTCGGTGTCTCCTCACTACAGGTTTCTTCAGGCTTGCGAGCTACAGTTCCATGGGTGCTTTTTGGGAATCCTTGGTTTCATTACCAAAAATGAATACATGTAATATTAATAAAAATAACATGCACATAATGTGTAATCATTCCCCTAAATAAAATATTAGCCATGTCAGCCATCGAAACGATCAGTCCGCAGAATATAATTCTCTGTAAACTGAGATCCAAAAATGTTCCCCGGAAAGATTGGCACTTCCATCTTCAGAGAAAGTCACCAATTACTTAATTTCAATTTCATTTTGATTATTGAACTGGCAATTTTAATTATACTGCTTGTCTGAGACAACTGAGACAAGTGTACATCCTATGTACCTCACGAAACTGCAACTGTGAATCTGGCAAAATTGGATTTGC